GACGTAAGAAGATGCTGGATGACCTTGGGGACAGAAGAGGATACTGTCATTTGAAGGAGAAAGCTCTAGATCGCATTAAGTGGAGGAATTGTTTTGAAAGAGACTGTGAACCTGTCGTCTTGACAGATTACTGATGATGATGATGACATACGAGTATTTTCATTCAACTCATTAGCGTTTCAGATTCAGTACAAAATACAACTTTGATATTGTCACGTGTTAGGGGTTCCGTGACGAATAATAACGGGTTCTGGGTTGAACTACTGGATTTATTAGCACTTCGATTATAATTACAACCAATTATAACAGCCCACAATCCATGGCTGTCCAAGACTAGCTCCATTGTTTACTGGGCCACAAGTGTCTTCGCTTCCGCTGTGACTGACTTGGTTCTGATTTACGAATCACTCACTTTTTGAGCTTCCGCTGTCCACTGGTTAGCACTCCACAGATGAACACTGAACTACCATAAGAATGAATCACTAAACTCTCTGACGAATGCCGAACGACGGCTCACTAACAAGTCTGAGTCTGAGACTTACGTTAAAACCGATGCTCAGTTGGCCAGTCTGTCTTGGTATAAAGTACCCATTTTGGGCTTACGACAAGATTTCTACCACTTTCAGACAGTTGCGGGTTTGTTGGCGTGGGGCGCTCTCTCTGACGAGAGGACGCGCCTGTCGATTAAAATTGCTGCTGGCCCTCGCCAGCGCAGTTATTTTCGGGTCTTAGTCTCGTGGGACTAGTGACCTTAATTTACTGCCTCAGAATCGAGACTTCTCTTTTCGTCGCCTTCTACGACTCGAAGAGCTACAATGGAGGTATTCGATCCCGCCTCCACGCGGTATTCGTTACTCACGAATGATCTGAGCTAACTCTTTACAACTTCGGGGCGGACCGAATATATGTCACAATGTCTTAAGTTCCTTTGTTATTCTGCTTTTCTGAGTTATCAGTTGCTCCGGGAACGTGCTTACCGAAACGTTGCACAGAAATGGACTATTCCGAGTCTATTCGTTGCCGCGGAAATCTGTTTATCGAACCGTTGCCTAGCACATATTTGTCACACTATTACAATTAGGTAATATTTTCTTTTACTTTATCGAAGTGCAAGAATTTCCATCGTTATCCAATCGGGCATGCCGTAGCGTAGTTGCTGAGGCACTATGCTACAAGACGGTTCGATACCCGATGGGGTCATTGGATTTTTCAATTGACCTAATCCTTTCAGCCGTATTATGGCCCTGGAGTCGACAGATGGTCTAACAGAAATGAGCACCACGAATCTTCCTGGGGGGAAAGGGCGGCCAGGGTGTAAGGCTGACAATTTCACTGTCATCTGTGAGCCGACTATATAGAAAATGTGGGGGCCTCGACGTCTTACAACCCCCTCCAAGGCCCGTTACAGGCATAGTTTAACATTTACCCCATAGCGCCTCACACATTTTCACAACACACATGGAACAGGGGGATTGAAAAGAATAAAGAGCCACAGTTGCTGAAGATTCTTCTAGGTGGTTAGTAAACAACGCCCTTGAGGTTCGCTGGACTGATGGCAGGTAACGTAGTCTACGTAAAAAGCGTCATCCTTTGAAGCACGGAGGGAGAAATAGAGAGAGGGCAGTCAAAGATAAAAGAGAGTGAGGGGATGGGGTAATGAGGGCCACTACATTTCAAGAAGGGGGATGATAAAACGTTACAGTGCTTACTCGTCCTTCTGGTAGAGGTATGTTGTGGAGAAGGTAAAGCGTTGGGAAGTGAAGGGGTAAAGGGTCTGGAAGTGAATGTGGTGAACGGTTTCGAATTGAAAGAGGTAACGCGTTGGGAAGTGAAGGAGGTAAAGCTTTGGGACCTGGACTTCGCTATAAAAAAAAATAGGAGGGTATCTACTGCGTTTCATAGGAATTTTTATATTAACTTTTGAAGGTCTACATTAGCGAGAAATTGGTGGTATTTACGACTGGGGCAGGTTACACGTGAAGCATGCAGTGCAACGTGCCATTTGGACACTCCCCAGCGATTTCTCTGGGATCGACGGAAACAGCCAAAACCCCTTCACTGGGTTGAGCGGTCGCAGGAACCTCCGGATAAACTGACGTGTGGCCAACAGACAGGCATTTACAGATACCAAGAGGTTTGAGTTGAGCTTCTCACAGCGGTGGCTACGAAGAGTTCTACCTCCTGGGATATGCTGGCTCCCGCTTGCCACCACTTTTCACGACGGTTTCTTCTTCGACCCTGAAGATACAGGTGACATGTTCCTCCGAAACGTCGGTAGACTTTCAACGAACTACAAGGCTTTATATTCCAAAATACGGAACTCGTCACCCTATTTGCTTTACTAAGATTTGTTTCATGTGTGTACGTTGAACGGAAACCTGATTCAGGAGGAAATTAAGAGGAGACTGAACTCGGGTAATGCTTTCTACCATTCAGTCCAGAGCCTCTTGTCTTCTCGTCTGCTGTCCAAAAACATAAAAATTAAAATATATAAAATTATAATTTTGCCTGTGGTTCTGTATGGGTGTGAAACTTGGTCTCTGACATTAGGGGAAGGACATAGACTGAGGATGTTTGAGAACAGGAGAATATTTGGACCGAAGAGAGATGAAGTGACAGAAGGTTGGAGAAAACTGCATAATGAGGAGCTTCATAACTTGTACTCTTCTCCAAGTATAATTACAATGATCAAGTCAAGGANAAGTAAGTAAGTAAGTAAGTACGTTGGACGGATAACAAACAATTTTACGTGGTAGGGGAGAGTCTTTGTTAAAAATAATTTTAAAGAGATCAATGCCTACTTCACGGTAAACACATGTTTCCATTACAAAGACGATCGGGTAATTGAGTTTAGGGAAACAGCAGGAAAACGCACAGCTCTTGAATACATTATATGTAGATACTTCTGTTACTGGTGGAATTAGTAAATCGTATAGACAACCAGAGACAAAGACGTATTTTGCTGCTGGCGTATAAACAGGCCTTCAGAATCGAATGTTACAGGAAAGTAATCCCTTACAGTTTAGCCAAAACTTTTGGTAAAGATGTGAAAATTGGTCTCCTTGCATCAACATACCTCTGGTACACGATGTAGTATAGTCTGATAAAAAAACTGTTAACTTTTCTGAATGAGTTGCTGCTTTCGCCTTCAGTCTAACTTGAAGATGGAGGTGAAATATTCCTCGGAAATTGTAGTCCTCTACCATATTACAATGTGGTTTCCTTAAATCTGTCTCACGTCATTGAAATGGATCAATTTTAGTGTTAATCATCGTAATCATGTGTGTAGCTGTCACTTCTTACATAAACACTAGCCAGTCCACATTGGAACCATGAACAGGCACGACACAAACACGTCCACACGATAAGTACAGGGCACACTCTAAAGAAAGTAAGTAATAATGATACATTTCAAATTAGAAATTTTAGAATTAAACAGAAATAAAAATAAAAGCTCTTAATATTTAACGACGTACAAATATTATGTTTCTGGACACTATCCATCGTCCTGTGTTTATCTCAAACACCGTCCTCTTTATATTTCGAAATACGTTTAGGAGACAAGATTCTGTCTCCATCTAGGGACTAGCTGTATTGATTGGGCCCAACTGAGTAGTTTCACCTGAAGACGGAGACAAAAACCACTCTCCGAAACGTCGTGTTTCGAAATACAAAGAGGATTGTGTTTTCAGATAATGGCAGGACGATGGATAATATCCAAAAACATAATATTTATATTAATGTACCATCGTCACAAAATTTTAGATCTGATTTAATGAGATATTATTAAAAATGTAACCCAATACTATAACAATTTAATTCACTTTCACAGAAAACTCAATCATGGCTTCATATTCAGGAAGACAACAGAAAAAACATAACCTAAAAACTCATTATACGTGAATAGCTCCAAGAACCTGCAAGTAATTCACTTATGCCATTCATTCATTCATCAGTAATCTGTCAGACGACAGGTCCACAGTCTCTTCCAAAACAGTTCCTCCACTTAATGCGATCTAGAGCTTTCACCTTCAAATGAGAATATCCTCTTCTGTCTCCAAAGTCATCCAGCATCTTCTTACGTCTTCTTCCTCTATCTTTCCTTCAATAACTTCTTTTAGAAGGCAGATACTGCGTAAGATATGACCAATCCAATTAGCCTTCCGTTTTCTTATTTCGTGTAGGATGTATTCCTCTGCTCACTGACTCTAAATAACACTTCTTCATTTCTCACATAATCGGTCCAACTGATCTTCTCCATCCTTCTCCAACACCACATTTCGAAGCTTTCCAGGTGTTTCTGATCTACTGCCCTAAGTGTCCAAGTTTCAGCCCCATACAAAGCCATGCTCCAAATGTAGCATTTCACTAGTTTCTTTCTCAAATTTAAGTCCAATTTGCTGGTAAAAAGATTCTTCTTCTTGCTAAATGCAGCTTTTGCCATGGCAATCCTAGATTTAATTTCACAAGTACACCTTCCATCATCTGTTAACAAGCTACCCAAATATATAAAACATTTCACATTCTCACTTATATCACGAGATATAAAATACATATAAACAAAAACAAATCATGGTAGACAACAGGATGCAAATAGTAAAGAACTGTTCTCTCCAGTCAAGGTCACTGCATCCCTTATTCCGCACATGGCTTTAAAAGTGGGTGGGCTTACTGCTAGGAACATCCCTTACCAGGATGTTTTTCCAGGGGGGGGCAGACACCTTTCCGACGGTTAGGGAGGCAGAGGTGAAATTTTCTTGCAAACATACACCGTTTAAGACCTGTTATTTTGGACATAATTACAAAAATAAATTTAATTTCGATTTCATATGGTGTGTTTTCTATAGTTTGCATAAATCTAGTTTTTTTTTGGGGGGGGGAGCAGATGCGAGGCTTCTCCGCTCCATTCCGGTATCTACCCGCGTGGAAATGTAGGTCAGGATAGCGAGTGAACTTGACAGGTCAAACGAGCTGCGTTCTGCACCTTTCACATATTGTACCTGCAGTGGATGACGCCGGCGTCTGGCAGCTTGTCCCTGGTGACCGAATGGTTCCGGTTTCGATCCCGCTGGCCCACGTTATGGCTACGGAGAAAAGGAAATTCGTATCAATGAATACACCTCATGGTTTGAGTACTGACGCATATTCTGCAATTCAATAACCATATTTAAACTGAAATTACATCTTTGAAATGAACTGTATTACGGTTGCCGGAATATACTGGGCGGGATGATAATAATAATGTAGCATGACGCCAGAAAGCCGGAACAGTGTAGCCAGAGTAGACGCTCATTGCTACGCAACGGCTAGGTAAACATGTTCCCTCGGAAACGAAGACGCAAGCGACAATGGAGGGATTGTTGATGTTTTATGTTGGATTTGCCCCGAGGTTATGTGGCGGGAATCCCAAGCCTATTAACAGTGCCTGGGGGTATAACTGTGCCAACCCTTTACTGGGTGATATAAATGCGGGAACCTGGCCCTCCAGGTTGGGGGAGTCTCGAACCTGAGACAGTAAAATGTGGTCGTAAGTCCAGCGGGACCCAGACCTGAGTGTGACTGCGCTGGCGAGGACCAACACTGTTCACTAACACAGTATATGTTGCTGAATCAAATGGTGAAGCTGTACAGCAGAGCATTACTTGTGTTAAGATAACTGCAAAGCGATTAACGCAGAAGGAAATGCTCAAGGGTTAGAAACTTATGGCACTGTCTGACTAAGTACACGGGAGTGAACCTCTGACCGTGAAGATTAGACGAGAATGCAGGCAGATCAGATGGAATATTCAAGATCTGTTACTTGTTGCAGTGAAAGAAAAACGACGGCACCCTCAGTCTATGCTCCTCCCTTTATGTCAGAGACAAAGTTTCTCACCCATACAGAACCACAGGCAATATTATAGTTTTACAAGCAAATGAGAACAGGTTCTGGACTGAATGGTAGCGAGCATTCCCCGTTTAATTTCCTCGCGAAGGCTAGCATCTAGTGGAGAACACGTATTTCCGAAACACTGTGCACATTTCACAAATCTCAGAGGGATGGACCATGCTCTGCGGTCGCAATGAACTGGCGGTTAGCCTCTCACAGAGGTCTGGACCAATATTTCCTCAACCACTTGGCCCAGACTGTCTTCTGAGCGGCAGGCGAGGTCTCGGACAAAACAACGCTAAAATGCACGTATCTGGGGAAACGAGTTGCTAAAGGTGGGTTACGACGTGGAAGCACGGATATGGCTGCGGGCTGGACTGCAGGGCTTTTGTTCCTAGCAGGACGATAGAATTTTCTCTTCTTCACGGAGTACAGACGGACTCTGAAGCACACCCAATCTCCCATCCAATGGGTACTGAAGAATATTTCCAAGGGGGCAGAGCGGCCGACGCGTGGAACTGACCACCCACCTCCACAAAGAGCCGAAGTCCTCTACTCACTCCATACGTATTCATGTCGTAGTGCTTAATTAATTAAGCCCATGGACAGTTTTACCTTTTTCTTCGGGACTACGGTTTACTGAACAGATTGCCGTTGGGACGCTGGCAGTAAGGACAGCAAGCCAGGCATCCGCCCTACGCCTGGACTTTTAAAAAGAACATAAAAGTTGTAAAGAGACTGAAACATACTTTTACGAATATCATAGCCAGGGAACGGTTCGGTAATCATATACCCGCTGAACCGGAATATGATAATTACTTGGCGACGGTTCGGTAGTCACGTTTCTGCTGCAACGAACAGAAGCCGAATATGACCACTGCTAGGCAACGGTTCGGTAAGGACGTCCCCGCTGCAACGAATAAAACAGAGAAACAATAGCTGAGGAACGGTAAGACATTGTGACATATTCGTTTCGACCACGTTATAAAACAGATAGTTCAGTTCATTCGCGAGATCCCGTGTGGAGGCGGGGTCAAATACCTCCACCGTGACCCTGCGAGGCGACTCAAAAGGAAGTCTCGAATATGAGGCAGTAAAGTATGGTAGCGAGTCCCACGGGGACCCGGACCTTAGGATGACTTCGCTGGCGAGGATCAGCACCAATTAGAACGAGAGGTCCATCCTCTCGTCAGAGAGAGCGCCCCACATAAATAAACCCGCAACTGTCTGACAGTAATACAAATCTGGTCGTAAGCCACAGATGGATGCTTTATTCCAAGACAGACTGGCCGACTGACCGTCGGTCGTAATATAAGACAGACTCATTCGTGAGAGTGAGCAGGATTCTCTGTTCGTCGTAACCGGTTCTCACGGTCTCTTCGCTTGCAGATTTCTTATATTTTTTCTTCTACCTTGAAGATGGAGGCGATAATTTCCTCCGAAACGTCGGTTAACACCACATATACACGGTGCCAAATCCCAGAAGACTGCTTTCTTCATATCCTCAAGTACTTCAACGCTGCAATATGAAGCAATGTAAACCCGTAGAAGTTCACTGAGGGTTCGGAGGAATGAACCGCCTCCATCTTGCTCGTCACATATTGACCACAAATATGGAGTCAGTAATTACTCCGAACGTGGGTGAGCGTGTACCAGAATACACGGCATCACATCCAGAAGCTGGTAGTGTTCATGAACGCCACCGCGAGAACCACAGACCAGCTTAAAGGTAAGTATGCAAGAACGCGTCTACCAATTCCGATGGAGGGAAGCTTCGTGGTACGACTTTCGTAGGGGGGGAGTGTTAGCAGGGCACGCTGAGCTACCTGCTATTGTCTTAGAGCAGTGCTAGAAAACAAAATGTGAATTAAAAAATAATCCAACATAAAGACGACAAACACTGTGGCTTTAGTCCGCAAGTGAAGTATACCGACCAAGCGACTGCCGCTTGTCGGCGAAGTTAGTGCCAACTTCAGAGGTTAGAGGGTGTCGCGTGGTCAGTGCAACGGGTCCCCACCGCCGTTAATTTCGGCTTTTCTAGACCGGAGCCGCTACCTTTCCATTCAAGTAGCTCCTCACGAGGCTGAGTGGATCTCGTTCCAGACTCCAATACTTCTCACAAAATTTGGTAGCTCCGGGGAATCGAACCGGAACCTCTGGATTTGTAGCAGGGAACTCTGACCACTAGAGCACAGAGGCAGTCAACTTCAGGCACAGTGTTCATCTCTTTCCACGTATTTATTATATATGATCTGCAGAATCTGCAATGAACGTAGGCCCATATGTTCAATAAGTACTGGCTCGTGAAGGAGTTACGCCCAGTGGCGTAACTCATGTCTTTATTTTTGTTCACTTCGGTATCGTTTAATTCTCTTATTGGGGTTTTGCTCAGGTGTGTCTGGTAGAGTTACGACGGTGTATCTTTTCAGTCAGTGTGTAGAGTTGCTATTGTCTAACAGGTTCACTGCTAGTGCATTACTGTGGTTTTCTAATTTGCTTAAGTGTTTGGTACTCCACTGAGCACTGTGTATATTTGCAGACCTTCAAGGATCGTGTGGCTGTTTATGTACCAAGGCGCGTTCAGAATGGATCGGAGAGTCTTGGATTGAAAGCGCTAGAGGCTTTCGATGTTGGGACTGGAGGCTGTCCCCCACAGCTGAATTCCATAGGTCCATACGGGTCTAAGTACTGCTTTGTATAGGAGGCGTTTGCTTTCTGTTGATAGTGTGGATCTCCTTCCGATTAGCCAATGCAAAATACACTTCCTCGTATTGTTTTCCTATCGGCTATGTGTACCTTTCCTCTCAATTTCCTGCCCACTGCTCTGCCTCTACTTGGAAAAAGATGACTAACCTCGAGCTAGGCTTTCTGTCGTCTTCTACGATTGATTTTCGCCTTGCGAATGCAACGTGCGCAGCAAGAGTGGTACTCACGTGTGCAAGAGGGGCCCCGGGATGTCCGCGGGACACTCGGCCTCCTTCAGACGCATGTTTCCTTCCTGCAACAGAACAGAAGCTGCGTCAACATACATCCTAGCTGACACCGATAACTGTTTCACAGAAACTGTTATTGAACCTTCGTGTTCCCTAAGAGGGGGCAGTTTCTTGAGAAGCTGAGCGACTGTTAGCTTCTCAGAGTCTTGCTCCGTGGAGTCAGATTCTCTTGTGAACAGGTCGTCAACCAGAGGGTTCTATAAAAGGAGGTATCTGTTGGCCTATCAGTTTGTCAAGAAGTAGCGGCTCTGTGGAGTTGGGCGGGCATGGTAACAAAATACAGGGGTGCATAAAAGGAGAGGAATAGGAAAGAAACAAAAAAGGAAGATGAGACGAGGAAGAAGATTAATGAGATAGAGAAGGGAAAGAAGAGGTAGAAATAGAGACCGATAAAGAGGAAAAATAACGGAAGGAACTGAAAAGAAAACGAGGGAGACATGAGAGGATTAACAGAAAGTAAAAGAGAATGATAAACATGTATGGAAGAGGAGAAGAATAAGACGAGAATCATATAAAGAAGGGAAAGCTATCTCTGTAACGGCTCATAGATGGCGCTGAGGTTGTCAGCCTTACGCACCGGTCTTCATTTACCCCCAGGAAGATTCCTGGTACTCATTTTTGTTAGAGGCTGAGTTGACCCCAGAGCCATAGTGCGGCTGGAACGATTAGAACAATTGAAAATTCCAATGATCTCATCGGGAATCGAACCGGCCTGAACAGACTATGCTACCGCATACCCTGAAGAGAAACATATATATTTTTTTTTATCATTTGGAACCCTAAAATTCACAACGTCAAAATGCGGATGTTAGTAACAAATANTGTGATTGATAGTGTAACGGACCAAAAATGAAACAATTCAAAACAAATATTTATGTACTAGAATCCACTGCTTATTCAGTCTTCGCGCTACATTCGGCAGCGGTACGCTGGAACCCGAAAAACGGCGTGTACAGACCGTCCAACAAATCGTGCGCCTGCGCGCAAGTCTGCCTGAAGAAGGGATGGAAGATACGGGCAGGCAGGGATTCCCTGTAGCAGCAATTCGACGGAAGGCAATGTCTTTCCTCATCTCACTCTATTAGCTCTGCTGAAAATATAATTACATGAGATTCTGCGGGATACACACAGCTGGACGGAGGCATACCTTTACGTCACTCTCAATATAGACACTAGAGAGCGTCGAGTGAGACGAACTGGACGGGGTTTTAAAGAAACCAATATCCCGAAATGTGGGGGGGGGCTGAGTAAAGCCATGATAAACACCAATTAAGAGAGTCGATGTCCCTGCCGGGATTTGAACCGACATCTCTCGAATAGAGGTCTATGGATTTATTGCTAGACCAGTCCCCTCGGTGGTAATTCATAACCTAATGTAACATAAAGTAACGTCAGCATATGCAGGATGTCCCAGAAGGAAAGGTCATAGGTTCGGTCCTTCTAAGCAAAAAGTGTGCATGGACATATGCCTATCCCGAACTGTTTCCGAGACAGAGCTACTTCACTGGACAGTACACTGTACAGACGAGCAGCAAGCCATGTCTTCACATGAGTTGCACCGAGACAGAGCGATTTCACTGTACAGGACACTGTACATTGTACAGACGAGCAGCAAGCCATGTCTTCACAGGAGTTGCACCGAGACAGAGTGATTTCACTGACAGGACACTATACACTGAACAGACGAGCAACACGCCATGTCCTCACACGAGTTGCACCGAGATAGAGCTGTTTCACTGTACAGTACACTGTACAGACGAGCAACACGCCATGTCCTCACACGAGTTGCACCGAGATAGAGCTATTTCACTGTGCAGCACACTGTACACTATACAGACGAGCAACACGCCATGTCCTCACACGAGTTGCACCGAGATAGAGCTATTTCAATGTGCAGTACACTGCACAGACGAGCAACACGCCATGTCCTCACGCGAGTTGCAAAGTGCCTTGATGTTGACGGTGGAATTTTCGAAAATGCATTATACTGGGTAAACTGAGCCAACTTTGTCACTTCAAAAATAATTACCGGTATTACAAACAGTACTTGATATCTCTTTCTTATCAACAATTTTGGAAATGTATAGTGATATAGCTCTGTATCAGAAACCGCGCGGAATAGGGCACATGTACATATACACTTTTTTTTTCTTCAGAATAACAGATACTGTGACCTCCCAGAATATTGACCTTTCCTCCTGGGACACTCTTTATACATATAAAAGTATACATAGCCGAAAGGTTGAGAACTGAGTTGTGACTTGAACTGACCTGCACCGGACTCCACAGGATATAGAGTGATCACACCTAACAACGCTGAAGACCCGCTCTTCGGACGAATTCAATTCGAAGTACGGATATGCGTTTCTGTGCATCAGACATGCGCACAGTCTGCAGTCACTTGTCTGCCCACGTTCTGGCCTTCGCATTCTAAGATTTGTGTACACTCTCACATTATTGTGCACGGAGAGGGTGAGGGTTTCTTCCTACAGCTGCTGCTGAGGTTAGGCAACCCGAGTCACTACAGAAAAGAAGGGGGCAAATGAGTCACTCGGATGCTAAAGACGCCTATGCGCGACGCCTGCTGTTTTATGTAACTTAAGTTGGATTCGAGATTGTCAGAGCGCTTACTGTGGAAAGTACCGTATTCATGGATATGACGTGGTGTAGTCTGGTATTTCACCGACGTTTCGGAGGAATATACAGCCTCAGACCGTGCCATAGCTCAGGCGGTTAATCGCTTGCTTCCGACAATGGTGGCCTTTGTTCGAGCCCGGGACATGTCATGTGGGATTTCTGGTGGACGAAGTGGTACTGGGGCAGGTTTTCTCCGAGAACTTCGGTTTTCCCTACCAATTCCTCCAACGAGCATCATAATCTATCATCTGGGGCTGGTACAATAGGCCAAACAGTGGCCGCAGTACCAAGTGGCCTCGTTCTCGCCTCATCAGAAAAATAAAAATACAGTCCCTCCATCATCACGGCAGATGAGGAAACCAATCGGTGAGATGCTTCCGCTCTGACCTTGACGATGGAAGCAGCGCGTTCCTATGGAATGTCGGCCAAATTGAATTCTATCTCCTGAGATATAACACCGTGTAATCCACCGGGAGTCAACAGACGTTTCGAAAGGAACATACAGTCTACATATTCAGAGTGGATGGGTAAACCAAAATAAAACCAGGCTGAAGGGAGCAATATGGAGACAGTAGGGACACGAGTTTTCTTTCCAGGAGACAGATATCCATACCTCAGTTCCAAATTCCGTACATTTCTACCGAATTACACGACGTTACATCACGAAAGGAAAGGTTGTCTGCCTATAATTCTGCATTACGCGATGGAAACGTATGGTGGTGGAGGTTTTGCTCCCCGAATTTTTAAACCTCGATATTATATAGAGTTGAGAGTGGGATACACGGTCCCAACGCTCTACCCCGGGGAGATGGGCCCCGGTACATCCTGGATAGCGGGCTTGGGTGGACCTCACAGCCGCCTTCGACGCGGTAATAATTACTGTCCCTTCCAGGAATCAAACCACGGTCGTGCAGCTCGTAGCCTGGTCAGTATTGTCGCGTATCGCGGGGTATAACGCGACAAATAAGTTCACGATGTATTCGACGTAGCGAATTTTATTTCACATTCGCACTTACAATCACACAAATTACAGATTTACGGTTACTGCTATCTGCAGTATCACAATTAGTACACTCCAAATGCCACAATACAACTGACCTCGGCGACTGTTGCTTTATAACTCAGTACAACTGACTGTGAATAGCCTTCGCTGCTCCGTATGTAGCCTCGATCGGACAATACGGGAAAACGGCCACGTAATAGGCACCCTTTGCATGGCGCCGTGTTGCTATGTAACGCTAGCGGAGGTAACCGCTGTTACTACTTGGTGACGTCACCGCTGTTGACTTGCGTTGCCTAGCGACCAGGATGCTAGGACTCGGCTAACATCGGCTCGCTTCGGCTTCGCTCGGCGCATCACGGCTGGCGGGGGGGGGAGGGGCGTCATCCATAGCTCAGCACGTCACAGTATATTGACCAGAGTCAGAGTCACTTTACGACTGGCGGTTTACTGCCAATCAGTTCGTCTTGCCTAGAAGCCCCTTGAGACTCACGACCAGTAATTTTATTTTCTAAATGAACACTTGCGGTTATAGTTCTTATATAACATCCTCCCTGACGAGATAATGGGTCTGTCATTTACAATTGGTGCTGGTCCTCGACAGCGCAGTCATTCTCGGGCAGAGTCCCGGGGGACTCATGACAATATTTTACTGTCTCTGCTTCATGACTCCATCAACGTGGAGGGTCAGGACCCTCGCATTTACGTACCCCAGGGACAGGGTGGTCCAGTTATACCCCCAGGTACTGGGTTTCCTTTTCGTCGCCTCCTACGACTCTCAGGGCTACGGTGCAGGTATTCGACCCAGCTATACCGGTATCTATTTGAACCTGCAAAAGCTTCTGACTTGTAATCGGGAGGTCACAGGTTTGATTTTTGATTGGGACAACGTCCTAATTTTTTCCAGACTTCTCCGTAGTTCTTACAGGAAAACTGGGGGTTAAAATAAAATCAGTCCTTTCCAGTTCACTATTCACTCTTATCCAATAATTGGACGCTACACAGTCGGGAATTACTGACAGCCCCGTCACTCGTGCCGCCGTCATGGGATGAGGGCGCTAGAAACCCGGATTTAAGAGAGCATAAAAAGTTGATGTTGGTGCTACTGAGTTTCATAAAACCCTGTCAAATAAAGCTCAACAAGACCTAACTCGACATGAAGCTCCTTTGGGATCCCTGTCCACTTAGCTTCCCCACAAACATAAAGACCACTGCCATTTACAGACCAGAACTTCCGACTTATATTTCATGCAGAATTTTCCGGTCAACAAGAATCTCTCTGCACTGTTCGTCCAATATAAATTCACGGACGTTTTTAATTAGGCTACCGGGCGCTCCGATCATTAAGCACACACAGCACTGCGCATG